CAGCAGCAGCATCAGCATCGTCATCAGCATCAGCATCATCATCATCGCCATCGTCGCCATCATCATCATCATCATCACCAGCATCATCATCAGCATCAACAGCATCAGCATCAGCATCATCATCATCATCAGCAGCAGCATCAACATCATCAGCATCATCATCAGCATCAGCATCAACATCATCAGCATCATCAACAACAGCATCAGCATCAGCATCATCATCAGCAGCATCATCATCATTAGCAGCAGCAGCATCGTCATCATCATCCTCATCAGCATCAGCATCATCATCATCATCATCATCATCATCATCATCCTCGTCGACGTCATCGTCATCGTCGTCGCAATCATCATCATCAGCAGCAGCAGCAGCATCAGCATCAGCATCAGCATCAGCAGCATCATCAGCATTAGTATCATCATCATCGTCACCAGCATCATCATCATCGTAAGCATCATCAGCATCATTATCAGCATCAGCATCAGCGTCAGCATCATCAGCATCATCAGCATCATCAGCATCATCATCATCATCTGCATCATCAGCAGCAGCATTAGCATCATCGACATCACCATCATCAGCATCATCATCATCATCGTCGTCGTCGTCGTCGTCATCATCAGCATCCTCATCATCAGCCGCATCAGATGCATCATCGTCGCCATCAGCATCAGCATCAGCATCAGCATCGTCATCAGCATCAGCATCATCATCATCGCCATCATCGCCATCATCATCATCATCATCATCATCATCATCATCATCATCATCATCATAATCAGCAGCAGCATCATCATCCTCCACCTCCTCCTCCTTGTCGTCGTCATCGTCATCGTCGTCGCCATCGTCGTCATCATCATCATCATCATCAGCAGCATCATCATCATCACCAGCATCATCATCATCAGCATCATCATTAGCAGCATCATCACCGGAATCGCCATCATCATCAGCATCAGCATCGTCATCATCCTCGTCATCGTCATCGTCGTCGCCATCATCATCATTAGCAGCAGCATCATCATCATAATCATCATCAGCATCATCCACATTAGTAGCATCATCGTCCTCATCAGCATCATCATTATCATCATCATCACCACCATCATCATATCATCACCAGCATTAACATCATCATCATCATCATCTGCATCATCATCATCATCACCATCAACGTCACAATCATCGTCATCATCATCGACATCATCATCGACGTCATCATCATCAGCACCATCAGCAGCATCATCTGCATCATCAGCATCATCATCAGCATCGTCATCATCACAACCACCACCAGCACCAGCATCATCATCATCAGCAGCATCAGCATCAGCATCATCGCCATCCTCATCGTCGCCATCCTCATCCTCATCCTCATCCTCCTCACCATAACCATGTGCATCACCACGTCGGCACCACCACCAACAACACAATCAGCATCAGCAATATCATCATCAGCAGCAGAACCATCGACATCATCATCAACAACACGATAATCAGCTTCATCATCATCACATTTAAAATTATCAACATCCGCATCACCATCGCCATCATCAGCAGCATCCGCATCCTCGTCATCGCCTCATTCTCATGCCGCTCCTCCTCCTCTTGGTCCGCCCCCTCCTCCTCGCCCTCAACCGCTTCATCGTCTCGCTCTCTCTCTCTCTCTTCCTCTCTCTCTCTCTCTCTCTCTCTGTCTATGATACATATACATATATGCACACAGATGTACATATATACATATATATATATATATATGATCTAGGGTCGAGGGCCCACGGGCCCCCCCCCCCCCCCCCAGATGGTATGGTCCCAGGATTCCTCGGGCCCCCCCCCCCCACAGATGGTATGGTCCCAGCGACGACGACGACGACGACGACGACGACGACGACGACGACGACGACGGCGACGACGGCGACGACGACGACGACGACGACCACGACAACGACAACGACGGCTGCGGCGGCGACGACGCCGGCGGCGGCGGCGACGACGACGATGACGACGATGACGACGGCGACGACGACGATGACGACGACGACGACGATGACGACGACGACGATGACGACGACTACGACGAGGACGACGAGGACGACGAGAACGACGAGTACGACGAGGACGACGAGACGACGACGACGACGACGACGACCTCTGAACCACCACAGCACCACACCACATCCACAGGGGGGGGGAGGGGGGCACCGCAGTGCAACACCACGCCACGCCCACCTCTGAACCACCACAGCACCACACCACATCCACAGGGGGGTGGGGGGAGCCGCAGCGCAGCACCACACCACGCCCACAGGGGGGGGCGGGGGGGACCATCGCGCGGGGGGGGGGGGTCCAATGGCATCAGCATTGGGGGGGGGGCCCAAAGCCTGGACCATATATATATATATGTATCGCTCGCTCTCGCTCTCTCTCTCTCTCTCTCTCCCTCTGCGTCTCTCCCTCTCTCTCTCTTTTTCTATGTATTTCTCTCTGTCTCTCTCTCTCTCTCTCTCCCTCCCTCTCTCTCTTCCTCTCTCTATCTCTCTCTCGTTCTCTCTCTCGTTCTCTTCTCTCTCTCTCTCTCTCTCTCTCTCTTCTCTCTCTCTCTCTCTCTCTCTCTCTCTTCTCTC